TGCCCCGAGTGCCCGCACACATCCCCGGCCCGTCTCGGGACATCTCCAGCGATTTCGTCCGCACCGCCCGCGGAGGTCACCGAAACTACCAAGGAAATGTTTAAGAACAAGTTAGAAAACACCCTTCAGGAGTGGCACAATCGCAGCGATGCTCTTTCCCGGGCATCCCAGGAGTAGTTCAGTTCTGCCAGTCCCTTTCTGTGAGTCACCTGCACCAGGGGGTTCAGTAACCATTTCCCACAGGGCAGAGAAGTTCCAAGCTGAGAGTCCCCGAGGAAGGCGCACAGCGTGCAGAGACAGCTCCCAGCCAGAGCCGGGCTTCCCTTGCACAGAGTGAGTGAGCTTATCTAGCAGAGAATTTACGCACTGCCACTGTGGCCTGTTGCAGGTGACATTCCCATGGCTCATGCCACCGTCTGCCCACACGCAATTCCATTCCAGGAGCTGCTGGAGTCATGGAGCAGACACAGACTGCAGCAGCTGAGCACCTGGAAGACAGGAGGAGGAAGGACAAGGCAGAGGATGTGGTTATTGCCAGAGGGAGGTGTGACAGAAGGGTAAAGAGGAGAAGTAACTCATCTCTCTGTGTCTGTGTGTGAAAGTGAGCACTGCCACAGCAACCACTGTGCCAGCAAAAGCAAGAGTCACCACAGCCATGGCACCAGAACAAGCTGAGTTTAGCCATCCTCCTCAGGAGACTGTTTGCTACTGATTTCCAGTCTTGAAAAGTGAATTCAAAAAGGGAAAAACCCCCTCAATTTCATTCTAACAAAAACTGAACACTTTTTCTAGAAAGTGGAATATTAGAAAATTTTATTAGTACCAAAATTAAATAGATGTTTAATGAGTGACCAGGCACAAGTCTTACGATTTTCACATTGCTAAACTTGTAAAATACCTACTTTTTAAATTAACAAATTTTAAAAGCTTTTAAAAACAGGTTTGTCTGCTGGAATTATTATAAAATGTCCAGTGATTGCGAAATAGGGAACACAACTTTTTTTTAGAAAGATTTCTCAAGCCACAGACCGCATCCTCATCATGTCTGTCTTTAATGGGCAAATTTTTGACACATTAGTATCATTCCTTTATTTTAGCTGGGAAAAATTCCCTGACAATGAGTTCCAGAAGTTATTTCCCACTATATTAAAAAAAGTCATATTTGTTCATTTTACATGTAATAATTCCACTGGAAGCTCCCTATTTCTTGTGTCATGAAAACAAGGAAATAATCATTCCCAAATTGTCTTCTCCGTGTGACACCGAGCTCATGGCATTTGTCACAATCTCTGTCATTTTTTCCAAGATGAAAAATCTCTATGACTGAAAGATATGACTTTGATCACTTCCATCATCCTACCCCTCACATATATATCCTTTACACTGATTAGTGTGTCAGCACCTAGTTTACTTATAGCATAAGAATGCTCCCAGTGATTGTTTCCAATTATTTTCTAATATCCCTATCATTAGATCCATTTTTTACTTACCTAAATGTATTCAGAGACCAATCCATAATAAATTCAGAACATTTTCCCTGAATGCCAACAGCTAATTTAGAATGGATAGTTGTACAAAAAGTCACATCTTTCCCTGTGCACGTAATTTTTCATTAATCACTTTTAATTCACACAAAGTAGATGCAGCATGGAAAGAACTGTGAAACTAACCAAAATATCCAATTTAAAAATAGAATTTAGGATATGTTTTATAAA